GCTAGTATGTTTATCGTTCTGGTCGGCCCGCAGCATTAGAATTTCGAGCGCGTTAACAATAGTAATATAATAACAATTTTATTTTATTTGCAAACAATTTTTTTTTATATTTTTTATTTTTTTTTGTGTCTGTCATCACGTTTTAGGACAGTAAAAGTGCTTGGATTTTCTTCATCAGTAGCTTTTCTGATAGGAAAGTGAATCTAGTTGGTACTTTGGGGGGTCAAAAGTATAAATTTCCCAGTAGTTTTCACAAGCGCCGGGAAAAACAACATAAAAATTAAGGAAAAACGGGAATTTTTACGCAAAATCGGTTTTCCAAAAAATCGATTTTGGTTATTGGTGTAACTTTAAAACAAATGAACGTATATACATGAAATTTTCACTGATTGTTTATATTTGCATTTTCTATACACGATAACATTTTCAAAATATTTTGATTTATTTTGAACTGTTTAGGGACATTTTCATTTTCCATTTTTTTTAGTTTTTTTTCTAAAAATATCAATAAAATTTTATTTGTTGGTTGCAAAAGCTTGAAAATTTAATAGAAGGCTCCTAATATATTGTTTCAAAGGCAGATGAAAAATATTAAAGCTTTCAATTTTTTTTAGTTTTTTTTTCTATAAATATCAATAAAGTTTTATCTGTTGGGCCAAAAAGTGTAAAAATTTAATACAAGGCTCCTGATATATTGTTATAATAGCAGTTGAAAAATATTAAAAATACATAGGCACAGTTTTTTTTTATAAGCATTTAAAGATCAAATTTTGACAAAATTTATCAAAATCTCGAAAATTATCAATCATTGTAATTAATAAATTATAAAATGTTCAGTTTTTATAGCTAAGGATTGCAAATTCAACACAAAGGTTCTCGTAAATAGTTCATACTGTAACCAAAAAATCTAAAAAATATATGAACACAGTTATTTTTTACAGACATTTTAAATTCAAATTTGGACGAAATTACATATTAAAAAACCTATTATAACTATTTTAGTTATTTTGTTGTGATTGAATAATATTATTCGTGGGTACTTGAAACTACTAAAGTGTACTATTATATATCTATGATAGTATCACGGTTTTTGTTGATGTATAACGCTTATAAGTACCTAATGGATATTGTGATATGATTAATTTGGAATTTATTATAGGTACCTATTATAGCCTATAGGTCAATTTTTTGTTTAATACCATATACATGTATATAATATGTCTTATACATAGACTGACATACCGTCTCCGCTCAGAATCGTTTTTCTTATACAATGATATTATATCGTTGAATTCAAATTTAATATCATCCATTATACAGTGACCCACTTGTAACCTACTGTACAGCAGAGCGACACCCACTTGCCCACCTTTTTAGTATTATATTCTAAACGGTGAATCCTATGAATAATTACTATAATGTATTGTGCTTTTTTTTTTTGGTAGGTATAAGGTATTCAAAAGTATAACTGTATAAGTGAGAGTCTCATTTCGTATTCGGCGAGGAGGAATAACGAATTTTTTTATACTACTCAAGGAGTGTTCCGTGGTGATTCCATCCAGCTTATTTTCTCTCACTCTTTTTCCTGTAAATTACTAATCAGATGAAATTTATGAAAATTCAATGTAGGTATCCAAATCGAAATTCGAACCCGTAGTTTTTGAATTATATTTTATATCAATATTTTTGAAAAATTAATCTATTTAAAAATCAATAATGTCCTTAAATATTTAAAAAATAAAAACTGGATTAAATTCATTATAATATCAAAGAAAAAAACTAGGGTGAACATGCTTGGCGAATCACTCTGTATATACGCCTTACTATAACAATAATTATTATAATTTATAATTCCCGTGCGATTAGTAGTCTCATGCGGAAAACAACAGACTGTTTTAATAAACAATACATATATTATGCATAATATGTATCTATCGTTGAAAATCCGTCTCGACGACTACGTGACGTATTTCTTTCGTATATATATATATATATAATGTTAAAAACATTTACATAGAACAATACAACATACATATTACATATGAGTATACCTGTCCTAATATTATCAAAACACGTAAAATAAAAGACAACAAAAAAAAATTATTGAATTCAGGTATGATCATTCTGCTGCGTAGTAAACCCGTTTTTTTTCGATCACCCAGTGAAAATAATGATAAAACTTCGTCAATGAGTAGGTCACAATTTTAGGAATTTTTAACGATTTGATGATTGGAAATCGTTCACAATATTGGTCAAAATTTTAAATTCAATGTTAGAAGAAAATTGTCGACTTTATTCCTATTTTGAATAAGAAATAAAAGAAATCGATATAGTAGAAAACTGCAGGTGCTGTGTACATTTTCCGTTTTTATTTTTTTACTATATTTTGAAAAGTAATGGACGCATTTATTACTCTTGACCCCCTAAACACAAGCTACCTACAATTTGTTACCATATAACCATACATAAGTGCCGCCCTCGATATTGAAGACCCAACCATTTTATCTGTTATAAATCGTATCTTCAGAGTTGAATTTTTTTGAAAAAAAAAACACATCATTGTAAATTGTATGCAATATTATAATATATATATCATATAATATTAAAAATTAAAGTATTGACCAAGAATAATAGTAAATATTAGATACCAAAAATAGTTCGTAGAATACAATCGCTCCGTTCCGAATCTAAAAGCAATAGAATATGATATTCGTTATCTAGAACGATGAATTTTTCTTAAAGGAAAAATGTCTAGGCAACAAATTTGACATTCATGATTGCAAATGAAGATTGCATTTTATAATTTCTTAGGTTGAAAAGTGGTTTAGGTAGTTACTGTTTTTATAATTTTACAAGGGTAATTATAAAAAAGGTGGACAAGCGGAAACCTACGATTCTTCTTTATATTATGTGTAGTGTGGTTCACCGTAATGGATGTGTTAAATTTTGATTCAATGGTATTAAATCGTTGTACGCGAAAATAAGGGTCTAATATATTACTAAATATATATTATATGATATTATTGCTATATTAAAGTGATGTATTTTACTTCAGTAATGTGGAAGGCTGAATTAGTTTTTGCCGAAAGCATTTTATACCTGTTTGAAAATGTAGTCGTATGTATTTATAATATAATAATATACGTTAAAAGTGTCCTGTAATCACGAATAATATTTTTTAATTACAATAAAATAACTAAAATCGATATCATCGAAAAAAAAATATGCCGAAGTACAAAATCAATGCATTTTTACTGCCTCAAAATGTAATGACAGGCACAAAGAAAAAGAAATAAAAAAATCATTGTTATATTGTTTACATAATAATTAATTTTTATACAAATATTGTCTAATTGTATTGTTATATCTTAAATGTAATTTAATTACATCGTAGTTTCAAAATGATTGTCGGCAACTGTTTGGTACTGACAGTTAACTGTTTTCATGGTAAACAACTAAACCAGTGACAGCTAAAATGTTTTACATAATATAAGATTTAAGACCTAAAATAGTCTATACATTAACATGTATTATATTATTATTTATAATTAAATAATTGTTGGAAATGGAAGTTGTGACAATATAGTGTGTCTAATTTGATTTTGGTGCTTCGTAGTTCGTACATTCTTTGTAGATAATTTCAAATTAACTGTATTCTAGGAACTGTTTCAAGTATCTAATTACTACTATTATTCATTGTTTAAGCTTCAAAATGTTATGTTATAATATTAGGTGTATAAATTATAATAGTGCATACAATTTATAATTCTTCTACTAATGGAACTAACATTTTTAATTCAATTTCCTTATAAAATGTTTTATTGTAATGATCATAACGATTGAACTGTATACTTT